AACAATACAAGGGAACACCCCCCCCTCCCTTAAGCTTCATCTAGAAAAAGGAGCAAGGTTTAAGTCTTCTTGCACTCCTGTGCTCCGCTGAATGCCACTCCAGCCATTACGGTGGTGCAGTGCAAAACCCAATCTCAGGACTGGGCAGTTGTTAAGAGATTTAATCTCTTGATATAAAGTGCTTTCAACGCTATTATCAGTGCTGGTGGGACATTCCCCCCCAATGCCTGCTCACGCCTCCCCCCCTCCCTCCCTCCCCCGTTCCATCGTTCTCTCTTGGTCCAATTATCTTTTACATTCATTAACCATGCAAAATACTGCACTGAGATGATGGGGGTGGTCTTCAAGGAGAACCTGGACCCTAAGGCGGACACCTGAATGCTACGAAACGTCTCCATGCTAGAAGGCCTCCAACTGCCAGGTTTGCGCAGTCACACAAAGTGTGCTTCCTTCCTCTTCTCAAGTTGCTCGCGCTTAACGGGCAGGATGGCCTCACCCTTGCCTCAAAAACTCAAGACGGCATCACAAGAGATCGAAAGAGGCTTCCTACTCCGCTATCAACCGCAAGGGGCAACTGAGCCCTTGGTTATTGTAACCAGAGGGGAACCTATGGATCTTAAGCAGCTGTCCGTGCTACAGGAGCAGTTTTAGATGGAAGAAACAACTAAAGTGCAAAAAACGGGTGAGATCTGCCTGAACATAGTCTAAACCACTGAACTACAGTCTAGCCATAAGGCACAAAATAATGCTTGCCCAAATGCTCCCCCCCACCCCACTATTTTCAAGTGAAAGTGTCACTTAAAATCTGTCCTGTCCACCACGGTGTAGCATCCCCATGGAATTAAGATGCTTGTGGTTGACCAAAACAAGAACCGAGTCTTCCATTTCAATAGTTCATCGTGAGCTCCAGTTGCTAAAACTTTCAACCGTATGGATTGCTCTGAGATGTTCAAGGATGTGAATTTGCATAGGAATGTCTAAAAAACAGGTATGCAATTCAATACTCGTCTTTGCTTCCCATTGGTCCTGTCCGTCATGCTGTAAAACGATAGCTGGGCCCTAGAGCTTCCCCTGTTGTGTCTCTGGGATGTGTCGATTTCCCTGCTTGTAGGCAGCCAAAACACAACTTAACATTGATATTTGTATTATCATTTTTTGCATACCAGCCATAGTAGGATGACAAGACAAGCAAGCCATCACAGAAGTCATACTAGAAAGCAGTATCATTGTGGGCCAAAGAACTGGGACACCATAGTAACAAAATTAGATGGGACACCATAGAAATGACACCAGAAGCAACTCCCTTAGAACATGCACAGAGAATAGCAATAATCATGCCACTTTTTAAGGAGACTACATCACACCATCCCGGCTCAACTAATCCCTTAGTCCATTGTCTCAAATATCAGCTTTGGTTTCTGACAGCAACTATCGCTCTCCAGAAAAACAAACCCTTTTTGCTCAAAAAATACTGCCAATTTGTGTTCCTTCGCTAACAGGTTCTAATTTCTGATCAAGCACGTAACTCTCTCTGGGAGGTAGTTTGGCAGCTCTAGTACCTTCCAAATCTCAAATGAAGTCATAGTTACAACGGCACATTAAGTCCTCGGTGTGCTCATACTCTTTAATGTATTTGCAGTCTATTTTTGACTGTTCTTCTTGCCAAGGACATGCAATCAATCTAGCTTTTAAGATACTGAATCCCCCGAAGCATCAGATCATGCAAAGTTGTGTTTCTTGTACTGGGAGCCGATTGGAATACAGACAATGACTTTTTTTAAAAAAAAGACTCAGACAAGTTTCTCCCACAAAGCACAAAGCAATATAAGCAATGAAACCCATCAGTTTCATATGAGACTGCCAAAAATATCAGACTCCAGTTAAGAGTAGTACACTTGTAGTAGGATAAAAGCAAGGCAAGGTAGGTAGGCACAAAGTAGGTTTAATCTGAAGTACTTGGGAATGAAGGGTGGTTAGAAATAGCTTCCTTAGAATTAACAATATTCCTATCATTCACTGCAGGGATAACTGCTCAGCAAGAGTTCTAGATCTCTTGCCAGCCACCATAACAGGCAACTTGGGGATTGGGTAAGCACACACCCATCAGGACATTTGAAACTGGTCACACGTGAAAGACTCACTTTTGCACAAGCTCCTTGCTCACTTGGCCTTCTCATCTGATTTTCGCTCTGTTTTAGCAATTAGCTGGCTTGAATAAGATGATACTGGTTGCAGACTGAAGTATGGGTGGTTTTTCAGAAAGTGATTGACTATTAGGAGAAAAGCCACAGTACTTGGTGTAATTTTGTGACTAAATGCAACTTGTCATCTTTTTTTTTATTCCCACCCTAACAGCAGTGGCCATACTCTATGTCTAAACCTGTTCTTCTGATGATATGAACTTTAGTTACCGTAGATTGAAGTGATGGTGCAAGTGCAGAATTAAGACCTGCAAATGAAGCGGCTGCTCATTTGGCTTCATTTATCAATGGTTTATCACTTGGACAAGAGCCAAGCATTGTTAAACTTTGCAGAATTAAATGTTGGCAAGACTTGTGCGAGAAATTTGCATATACCTGATTACATACAAGATGTGATGAAATGACCTTTTTTTTAAATAAATACAGACAGTGGAATTGCCAAAAGTAAAACTTGGGTCCAGTCATTAATTCGATTTTTGTTCTCCATGAGCATCAATTTTAAAAATCAGTCGGTTTAACTGTTGTTGGTGGTTTTTTTTGCAACTACTACAACCTGGCTCATGTCACAAATAATTCCACTTTCATATAATTCATATAATTGCACTTTCACTCGCAGTGCAAAGAGATTGCACTGGATTGGTGGACCCTGGACAATGGAGGGGAAAGGAGGATTTTAACTATGCAGGTTTTCACGCAAAAAGTCAAAACTGGCTTTGCTTTCTACTGTGCTTATATGGCTCTATCAGTAAATTTATACACTTGGTAAAATAATGTCCCAGGAGCTTCCTTTGCTGCATATTCCTTTGATGCGTATGTTGACAGCTCAATTCTTTTAAACTGGTAGGATACACCAGTGATCTCCCCGACTGATCTGCCTCCCTTCTGAATAGCAGGGCCAGCCTTCCCTTACCTGTTGTCTTTCAGTTGCCTTAGGTTGCAACTCGGGATTCTCAGGCGGAAGGCTATGGGATGTGTTTTCTAGCAAATTTGGAATTTGTAGTAGGTGATGTCTTTTAAGATTCAGAAAGGATGTATTTGACTTTGATGGAAATACCCAAGGTTTTAATACAACTTTGCTGCCCTCTGGTGAGCACATAACAGGTTTTAGAAGCAAGGGGGGCTTCCATGAGACCAACACAAGATTCTGAATTTTGCATGAAAGTTTGTAGTTTAAGAAATGCACACTAAAACGCAACAATTAAGGATAGGGTCCTCACAAATCTTATTGTAATCCCCCCTCCCAGTTTGTTTGTTTTTTTAAATGTTGCTCATGCATAGTAGTTGAGCTTAGACTTCTAAGTAGTACCAATCTTGTGTCATTGGTTTTCTATCTGTGGTGGCACACGGGATTTATAAACCACCAGCATTGTTGTTATTATTTAAATGACTGTATAAATCACAGAATACTATTTTTGAAATAATTTTTGTAATGTACTGTTATTTTACCAAAGGTTTAAATTTAATCACTACAATCCATCAGTGGGTCAACAACAGAAAGCATCATCTCTGTTTCACCTAATACAGCTGAAATGAACAAAACTCTAATTTCTGCAGAGTATAAGTAAAACTATTGGTCACCTGGCTAATTGTTACTTGATTTTGGCCATTTATTTATTTATTTATTNAAGGGCAATCCCCATCCTAATAACAAATCACGGTAGGGACACAACCACAACTCCAGTGTTAGTAGCCCTTGTTGAGAGATCAAGATGCTAGTAAAAGGTCAATTGCTAATTGCACAGGTATCCCAAAGTCTGCAGAGAGGCCTATATGTAACTCCAAGGTAATTCTATATGTCATCTACAGACCATCCCAGGAGGGATGCAGTCATGAGCCTACCAGAAAATCATTGGCAGTGGTGTTAGCCTGGGAGGAGCCCAAAAAGCAAAACCACCAATAGGATCCCGCTCCCTCTATTCAAAGGAAACAAACAAAATCAGATGAAGAGGCTGAATAATTAGCGTCATCGTAATCCACTACTACAGCTAGAGGAGAAAGGAAGTGAAGGGGCCTGGAGGGGAGGGGGTCTTCTTCAAAACAAAATGGTAGCACTGATCACAAACTTCCAAGCGCGAACACAATCACCAGAGGGGAAAAAGGCCTGGATTTTTTTTTGGCAGAGAATGCAAATACTATAAAAGGGGGCTCTGCGTTTGGCTTTGTGTATGTGTGTGTGTGTGCACGCGTGCGCACAAACACACGCACATTATATATGTATATAATATTTACAATAGATCCTGGGTTTAACAGACTCATGGGGGAAGGGATGTCCATCACATCTAAAAAAATTGCAAAATGCAGTAATTTTTTTTTTTAAATACATGTGTAAAATGGCAAATGTGTATTTTACACGTGTGTCAAAACGGCCAAGGAGCAGATGCAAAAAAGTGCACGGACAGATTGTGTCCCACTGCATCTGAAGCCGGCTGAACCAAGGTCTGGTAAATTAAGTGTGTGTGTGTGTGTTTGTGTGTGTATATAGATGTGTATTCACTAAACAAACGAACACTGTTCAACACTGGGATGGATGCAGGGAGGAGATGGGATCTTCGTTTTTTTGTTTTTTTGTTTTTTTTTTTTGAAGTTGAGACATTTTTCACTGCAACATCTGGTCACCTGAACAGCTGCACACCAAAAGGAAAAAAAAAGAAAAAAAATGGAACTGATAGGGATGGTGAGTGCATTATAGTCAGGCTGCAAGTCAGACAGCTGGATGGATATGGCTGGGGTTGCTTCTTCTTCTCCTTCTTCTTCTTTTAAATAATTGAGTCTACTTGGATTTTTGTTTTTCTTATGTGTTTCTCTGTCTCTGTCTCTCTCTCTTTGCAAACACAGGCACTGGAAATGAAAGAGGGGAAGGAGAGGGAACGGGGGGGGGACACGAGCATGCGGGCGCGTGCTTGTCACTGCTGCTCCCGGCTAGTGGCTCAGCTGAAATCACCATCTCCTTCGGGATGAAATCAGAACAGCCAGCATGAATTCTGAAAGACAAAGAGAAAATGGAGACATCGTGAGGAACAGCTCAAGAGCCCCACCAAGAGGGAGTCTAGGACAACTCGCCACCGCTAACTCGCCATGGGACAACTTGCTGCGGCCAACTCAGCTGTGGCCAGGTCACTGTGGGACAACTCGCCGCAGGACAAGACTTACGCTAATATCCAAGAAATGGTGGAACATAATCATTAAACAAAGGATGCAAAAGGAAATGTGAATCACAGAAAATTACAATAATTTAAAGACAATTTTAAATACTTAAAATGAATTGTTGAATTGTCCCGCAATGAGTTTTCTCGTGGCGAGTTTTCCCGTGGAGACTTTTCTCATGGTGAGTTTTCCCGTGGTTTTTCCCGTGGTGTTTTCCCGTGGCGAGATGGCCACGAGAAGTTGTCCCATTCTGCCCACGAGGCAGGCAACCACGTGCGATGCAAGAGACCTGGCTCCCGTTTTCCATAATCCTGAGGCTGTTATCCATAACTCAGTTTCAGCCTTAAGCCTGGATATTAGTAGCATCATGGACATATCCAACCATTTCCTGATTAAAATCAAATTCAAAAGAAACCTCTTCTACTGTAAAAGTTGGATTACCTTAACCCTTAATGCAGGAAGTCCTTGACTTACAACCATCCATTTAGCGACTGTTCGAAGTTACAATGGCACCGAGAAAAAAGTGACTTATGACCAGTCCTCACATTTACATTCTTCATAGCATCCACATGACCATGTGGGGAAAATTCGGACAGTTGGCCACTGGCGTGTATTTATATTGGCCACAATGTCCTGAGGTCACAATTTGTGATCTTCCCAGCCAGCAAACAAACAAACAAACTCTACAGGGGAAGCTGGCTAGGCATAAAGGCCGCATTATTCCCTTAATGACTGCAGGCAGTCACAGAACAACTGTTAGGGGTCTCTCCGTTGGGAGACAGAGAGTAGCACAGCGGAATGTACAGCTAGAGAGAAGGAACGTTGCTAGTAGAAGAAACACACGAATAGAGTCTCAGACACTGCTAGTAAAAACAAGTAGCTTTACTACTAACAGTAGCTTCACAAGCAGTGATAGTAGATGTTTGTCCAAACACAATTCAAAGTACAAACAATTGCTTACAGTCGCAGTTCACGTTCCAGTCATCAAGCGAGCAAGTAGTTATCAAGCATAGGACAAGCAGAGAGAGAGAGAGAGAGTGAGCTTTCCTGACTCCCTCTTATTGCAAAGC